ATTTAGCTAGCTCTTCACTGGTTCGACCAAATGCGCTAAAAATTTGGATTTAAGAGTTTCTAATGATGCTGTACAGAATGAGATTGTCAAATCGCAAAACAAAATTTTGACGAGTGCCTCGGTTTCTCGACGGTCCCATGGACCCTCTCTTAAGAGACCTATAAGATTTAATTCGACTAGTTATTGTGATCGATGTGCTTTAAAGAACTTTTCCTACAACTCAAATGAAATCACAAATACACACGATAATAATTTCTGTTTTAATACACTCTAATCCAATATTCATGTTTTTCATTGGCACAATGTACTGGAATATTTGGGATTATTATTCATGAAAATAAAAAGTACATATCGGTTTGAAACATTTCTTTTTCGTATAATTATGTCGATATTACTTTCTTTTCAGTGTATTATCACACAGCATACATAATCTGATGTTGATCGACGATTATTTGTACAAGAGGCAACTAATATTGAAGTATAGAGAAAAGAAAACGACGGTATTTCGAAAGCAATTATGTGGAAAGAGAAAATATAATTTTGAAAGGCTGCTATAAAAGGAACATATATTCATACAATATTTCAATATTCTCAAGAAACAAATCAACATAAACCTCGATCAAGGTACAGATTTTTTCGTGTTATAGTCTGGGTGTATCTGATCCGGAATAAAACATTTGAAAATTTAGGATTTGAAATTGACCATGCGCTCAACAATTGTTTTTACATTATTCTTGGCCTTATTCATGATCACTTTCATCAACATGGGTAATGCTCGTCAAATACGAATGGATGACGATGATGATGATCTCGGAATCGAAATAGCAGATGCTAAAGCACGCTCATTTTTGGATTCGGATGAGGATTTTATGAAACGTGCCGATAGTAATTGTCCAATTTGTAGCTCGTTAACACGCAGTCGTTGCTGTGCACCGAACTTATGTGTGAAGAAAACATTTCATAATGAATGTATCAAAATCAAAACTGGTAAATAATCCACAACGACAACAACATTTTCATCATAAACGAACATTTTTTTCTCTTTTTAATCATTTATATTACGTGCGAAAACCTTTTGAAGATATATATACAAGCTTTGTCAATTGACTTCCTCAGTTTTTTAATAGTGTTGAAAATAAGAAGTTTATCATTTCCGTTGCACTACAATGATATGATATATTGGAAAGAAAACAAACTGCAGCTGTTGTTCTGGCTAATCTTTTACTAATAATTTATACCAAAATCTATAAGATTTCTCTATCTCTCAAAGTGCATTAAAAAGCGTTTGGATCATACTACTTTGAAACGAATCATTTGGTCGACTTTTCACATTCTCGATTGTAACATCATAATATTGAAAAAAATTGACAAAGAATCTCATGTGTTCTCTCGCATTGACCATCGGAGCATGAAGACAGATTACGAAAAGATCAAGTTTACTTTCACCAACGACAACTATCAGTTATTTTAAGCGAGAAAACAAATGTCGATCGATTCTTGTAAAAGAATGACTTGAAATTTTATTTTCAGCTCAAAAACTTATATAAATAACGCTTTAATATTTTCCTATATTCAGAGAAACTCCTGGTAATCTGATTCGATTGCGAGCATCAAAAATTTAGCAGAGAAAAAACGATCCTATGATTAGATTGTATCGAATATATAGAATTAAAGTTTCAAAGTCTATGTGATGGTACCTAAAAATGTCTACTAATAAATATTACTGCATCATGCGAATATACCGTCATCGTGTATATTGTGTATCTTACTAGTACATTGATAAGAACCAGAAAGAAGGGGAAAAATCTTATATAATGAAACTGTGTTATATCTTACGTTTTAATCATGTTATTCTTTATCTTTGTTGGAAAATGCCTTTATTGAAGAAAACTACAAAATGGGCACAGTTTTTATCATTATCCATAAAAAAGTATATGTTTAAGATATATATGAAAAGCATGCAGATTGCTTATGTTTTTTATCTTCAGAAGAAAAAGTATGTGAATCAAATTGTAAAATATACATTTTAGATTCATCTTAGCAAGTGCTCAACGACAAGTTCGAATAAAATGTCGGTAAGTTCAAGTTCATTCGTTGTGTTTTGTTCCAGAACAGTATCATTGTCACGATCTTGAACATTATTCTGAATTGTAAACTTTAATGAGACGATGGACTGAGTCAACCATTTCATAATTTCCGATTTCTAAATCAAACGCTCAAAATGAAGATATGCGTTGCACGTAAAAATATTTTTCTTACGTTTTATTTCATTGCAGTCCAATGACACATTGATTGAATTAGCAAAACAACAACAAGTAGTGTTAACGAACTTAATATCGCGTCTATTTGACAAATCAATCGAAGGTTTAAGGTTAACAGAAAGCGAAATTGTCGGTTTACTTGTGAGGCATAGATGGTATCATTCCAATATGTATCAATTAGCTGCTTTAAAAAGCACAATTAATTCAATTCACACCGATCACGACAGAAAGATATATGAAATTTTCAGTGAAATTCAACATACGAAAGAGAAGTTAAAAGAAATACTTCACCGTATGTTAGATTGTTCGGAAATAGCTCTGAACAAAGATATTTTAGAGCGAAATATAGAAGAACTAATGCAAAAAATCGATAAACAAACTGAAAATTTGGATAAGTCCGTTTTACTGGGCTTAATTTTCCAACAGCTTGGCCTTGCGGCTATACTCGCAGGAATCATGGCTTTATCTGCTGGAGCGGGTGCATTTGGAGTGGGAACATTGGGCGTCGGGTTATTGGCTGGCAATGCCACCAGTGAAATAATATTTCATGTGAAATTATTCAAGCTGAGCACCGAAATACAAGAATATATTGGTACGATTTCACGGCAAAAAACTCAACAAATAGCACGTATGAAAAAATATTTCGATAATTTTGAACAACGTGTACGTCAAAGAAATGCTAACCAACTCAAAATCGACATCGTTTGGTATGATAAAGAGATCCATCATCAAGAAAATCAATACTTTGCCAAGGAATTATCGCATCAATTTTCACCAAACAATTATCAAGTTGTCCTTTTTGATAATGAACATCGAGTGATAAACTTTGTTCAAACAAATATTACAAATAATATCATTTTGATCACAACAGGATCAGCTGGGAGATCTGTAATTTCTGCAATTGGACATTATTGTAATATCACAGGTATTATTCTATTTTGTATGAGAGTTGATGTTCATCGATCATGGACAGAAAAATTTAAAAAAATCTTATTGATTACAAACCAATTCAATGAAGTTGTCGAAAAGATAAAACACATTGAATGTGGTGATATTTATTTTGTAAACAATGGACTTTCAATCGGAGATGCACGATTAAAAATGCCAAATATTGAAGTTTATTTATCAATAAATGCAAATGGATCTATCATTAATAATTTTCTATCAATTAGACGCGAACAACTTCATCATCGAACCAATATGGAACAATTATATAGAAAAATTATGTCAAAAAATATTTATCCAAATGGAATACCAGATCATCTTCAATTGGCAAATTTGAACTGTTTTATTAGCAAATTTCTCGAAGCACTTCAACAACCAAAACCGGAAATATCAATCATCACTTTGTATACATTAGAAGCTCCACATTATTACAAAATTCTTAATGATATTCTCAATCGATTAGACGAAGAATTGATTTTATTGATTGGCGATTATGTAAAAGCATTACGATATGCTTTACTCGTCTACGAAGACCAAAAAAATAAAATACAAAAGAAGACGAATATGACTTTTTATCGAGGGTTATGTTTGACGAAAGGAAACAGTTTTCAAGAATTTTTGCGAAAATTTCGAGTTGGAGATTTCATTATATTTCCATCGTTTTCGTCAACTAGCATGGATAAGAGAGAGGCTGAATCATTTACCAAAGGAAAAGGTGTTATTTTGGAAATATCCGTTGATTGTACTCAAATGAACAGACCAAAAAATATTTCGGCTGTATCAAAATATTTAGATGAAGATGAAGTATTACTTGACTGTTTCAGTATATTGGAAGTGCAGGACATCAAAAAGGTTACTGATAACATATTTTTCTATACATGTGAATTGAAACTTCACATATGAACATTAATTTTGATCTATTTCGGGACTTTTCTTGTACTCCGGATTTTGTTTCTTTATATAAAACGTAAAGCGGTTTAAGATATGATCACAATTGATAACGGACTAACTTAATAATTATGAACTCGATTGGCTTTTGCATACGAATTTGAGTATAAAAGAAAACATTCGACCGAATCGAGTCCGTACGACACGACAAAAAAAGAAATACTTGAAACGCATTGAGTTTCTGCTTAGATTGATAGTGAGTGTTCGAGCACAATATTGCGATACATTATACTTTTGAAAGATACATCATTCGTCAACCAATTTCGATTCAATGTAAAAGTGCTATTTATATGCCTGATATGATTGATATTCACATGGTTTTTTTTCTTATCGCCACACAATGAGAGTCTCGTCAAAGATATGCGTTCTTTTCTTTTATACGTCATATCTAAATATTACAATTTTATAAAATCCATCAGAGAGAAATCTTCGTTAAATATTCTTTCTTGAAACATGATAACATCATCGGTAAAAGATTCGTTGGAGGATAGATATGACGAGGGAAATTTTGTCGAAGTCTTAGAAGAACCATATCACAAACCATTCATTCGAAATTCACGTGTTAATGTTTTTATCGCCAAATTACCGCGTAATTCTGTCACAATGTATCATCGACATAGACAAAACACGATCTATACGGTCATTGTTGGTTCATGTTGCAAAAGTCAAGTATATGGATCGAATAGCTGTGCACAAGAATATGTAAGTGGTGATTGTTTCTCTGGAGAATATCGAAACAATCCGCTTATACATCGTGTGGAATGTCTGAATGAAAGTCTTACTGATGCTTGGTTTGTTGGCATTGAAGTCTTACAAGAGAAATCTTTTTTTCCTTTGGATAATAATCTCGAATATGATAAATACACTCCTATTGCAAAAGTAAATCTTGTTGGATGTCGAGCGTATCGATTGAAATTAAATGCGAATGAAACGAGTGGAGATCATTTATTCGAGTTTTCTGGAATTTTCATTTCATTAACAAATGGTCAATTGAAAATCAATTCTAAACATGATTTTCCCTTATCGTCTGGCCATATCGACATGGGACACGTCTTTTGGTTTGATGGACCAGTTCAATTTCAATTACAAAATGTTTCATCTGAATTATATGAAGCAATTCTTATACTCTTCTCCTAATTTCATAGTTTTGCCTTCGTTTACGTCGTCAAACTCATTGTATTTAATAAATAAATTCTGTGCAGAAGTTAAAAATATACTGCTAAATATCATTTTATCCTCGAAAGATTCGTTTATATTGTCAAATGTTACTAAAATAAAACGAAATTTTTCTTATACACAACGCTTGAGAGCTTTTCAAATGTTATCTGTTATCAGTTTTTATTCCCCATGATGCTGCGTCATGAAAAGCAAGGGTTATAAACCATGAAAAGAACTGAAGAAAAAACACTATGTTTTTTCGTGTTTATATGAGAGGATATCAGCAATAAATAACTGACTGAGTCTATATAGATTGTACTGGTGAGATTATTGAATAAGACGTGTATCATCTGTTAACTCACTCTAAATATTTATGCTATCTAACATGCGCTCTTTTCTTGTTCTTCTTTTCGTGTTTGCAGTATTATTTATTTATCAAAAGAATTCGTTTGTCATTGGATCAGGTATGTTCGAGTATAGTCATCCTATTCTGTAATGTTGAACAACAGAGAATAGGATGTTTTTCAATTCAGATACTTTTCTCAAACTAGTTTGAGAATGTGGAATTCTTTCGTAGGATTTTTTACTTTAAACATACTTATTTTAGGTGAATCAATTGATAACAAACATATAATAACTGATGTACAGGCAATCGTCAACATAGTCGCTGGAACAGCATCACTTCCACAGGTATATGAAGAGACTGTTTACACCCAAAGCATTTGTCCAAACTGTCATTCCTCATATTGGAGCTTAGTGAAAGACAAATATGAATATTTGCGCTCGTATCCACATTGTCCGCGCTGTGGTCATAAACTTGAATTAAATGATATTATTGAGGATCACGATGTAATTGGTGCTGTAGTCACTTTTATACAAAAGGGTAATTTGGCAAATGCTAAATTCCAATTGACACATAAAGCACTAAAAACGCGAAATATAAAACAAGTAATTCAAAAAGTAGATATGGTGAAATCTGAGTTGTGAAAATCAATTTATTCAATAACTGAAAATAAAAACTTAGGCTTTTTCATCTGTTCTTTTTTCACACTAAGATATCGAAACAAACCCAGACACGTTTCGACCTTGTTGAGGGTCTCGCATCAGTTGGTTTTCGTCTACGTTCCATTCACAATAGTAATGAATGTCACATTGCATAGAAGTTTAATGTTTCTTCTATATTGAATTTGATGATGGAGAAGAAAAAGTTTCGAGTAATGTTTTTCGTCCCAAGTTCGAAAAATATTACTTGTCCATGGAATGCGTTGGATTGAAATCAGTTTATTATACAACAGATATATATATATATACACATCACAACCAGATTATAGAAGTTTTTCTTTATTGTTCAAAGAGTATAATTTGGATTTTATCACCCAATACTTCTTGTTTCAAATCAAAGTTTATGCGTCAAAAAATGCTCAACCAAAGAAACTACGTCTGCGTCATACTCATCATTAAATATTTTATTTATAAAATAATGGCTAAAATCGATGAGACCCTTGCAATAGAAACTGAAATGTAGAGAATAATTATAGGTTTAGAAAAATTGAAATTATCCCTCAATCATAACAATGGAAATACGTGTCGTTTCTGTTTTTAAATTATATCATATCAACTTTTTTCTTGGAACTTTTGTATCGGCAAACTGTGCATAGGAAAACACTACAACAATTTCCTTCCAAGTAGATGCCGAACGGTAGTTAATTCAATAAATGTCATTTTATTTGATACTCAAGCGTTAAAAGTCCACAAAAATGGGATTTTCGGATTCCTGAATAAAATCTGTTCACTCAAATCTCGCATTTATAAAATATCGATTACAATTTCCTGACTAAAAAGATTAATGAGAATCAATCATCTCTGCGCAATTCTTGCCATTTTTCTTCGTATTCTTCGTTGGTTACACAAGCGTTTTCCCACTGTTCGATTGTCACTTGTTGTGGTGGGCTGATCTTTTTAGTGCTCGCCCCATGATCTGATGGTTGATATTCATTCCAAAAGAAACCGTGTTTGCCTCTTTTGCACCCACCTTTGCACACACCGGAAAACGTTTCGTTACAGCAGATCCATTTGAACTTATTCTTTTGCCGTTCGTATGTATCCGATGAATCTCGCTTTTGAAAAGCATCGCATTCCAGTACGTTTAACTCCTTTAATGCTTCGCTTGGAGTACATCTCCTCAGCTCATCTGTTGAGATGTCGTAGAGAAATCCGTCGTGAAAATTACAGCTACCTACAATGAACATTGTGATTAGGTTTCAATGTTTGTATTCAGAAACGTACCCATTCGATTTTCTCTTTCGATGTAGAAATCTTGGCATTTGACACATTTGAGAAGTTTTTCTGCCAAACGTCGCTCCGTTTCAAGTTCTTCTTTTTCACGTTGTGATCGCGGAAAT